TAAATGAAATTTTAACTTAAAATCATAAAATTTATAAAAACTAATCACTAATAACTACAACTATATTATACAGAACAAAAGTTATTACCTTTTTCATATCGAAGAGTAGACTCCTCGGCCTGCCTTAGAATGTCATGATCATCGTAGTTAATGAAAAAGGACATATTACGACTGGAAGTCTCACGTACACCAGCTATAAACCGCTGTGCAACCTAACAAAGGTACACATGCATTAATTCTTATTTTTTGAAAGGTAATTAATCTCCAGGACCATAATGACGAAGAAGAAGATGACGATGAGCCTTTAATATAATCGTACCATTTGGGGCGTTATTTCTCCACAACTATAAGCTCTTGAATAATCCAATATTGTCCAACGACGGAAATGAGGTTTTGATTTCTCTGATTCTGAGAGGGTTGGAGGCAGACAATTGATTGCATGATGAACTCGTTCAGGTGGAGACGAATCTGAATCAATCTCTTTTACTTGTTCCTCTTTAAGTTCTGTTGATAGACATATGATGAAATCACAGGAATATAGATTAAAGAAGCAATAGTATCCTACTAACTTTGATCTTTTCTATTTGTCTATGCAACTAATTTTTAATTATTTTTGTGCTTAACTGTAGATGACGCATATGAAATGACTGTTCCAGGTGGAAAAATTAGTCATTCCCACACTATAAAGAAGGCAAAAACCATTCTTAAGCCCCTAGACTTGCCCCAAATTAGCATTTAAGCCCTTAAACTAAAAGTAATGCAATTAAGCCCTTCAACTCCTCAACTAGTGCAAATAAACCCTTCAACTTAGACTTACAGAAATAGTGCCCACACTTATATTATTGTGTTGACACTCTAAGTAGTTTTCAATTTAGAAAACTTGTATTTTTAATTTAATCCTATTTTTTTGTACTTCCTTTACCTCAATTAATTTGGAATCGAGTTGAATCATATCTCATAAATAAAATAATTCTTTTAATATATATTTTTCTATTTATAAAATTTAAATTTAAAATTTTATTTAAGAAAAATTAAGTTTCTTTTCTTTAAACCCAAAAATCGTTAAGAATTTAATCTTACTATTTTGATAGAGTTTTTTTAAAATATATTAAGAGTTTAATTATAAAATAATTACATATCTCATTTTCATTAATAAAAATTGAAGATATCACATATATTATTTATGATTGGTTAAATACCCTTTTTGGTCCCTCTACTATAAAAAAATTTTAATATCTATTTTTTTATTTATAAAATTCAAATTTAAAATTTTATTTAAGAAAAATTAAGTTTCTTTTCTTTAAACCCAAAAATC